ATACGGAAGTCATACTGGTGCCAGGCGGTAGTTAATATTCGTTAGTTATTAGATTGAGTGCGTTGTATAGTTAAACGCTAAAGTTAAAGTAGTGAAGTGACCGTWGTTAAGTATAATACTTATAAGTAGACCAGATAAGTCAGACGTTTTAAAGTCTTGTCGTCATCCTAATATCTTCGGTATACGTTAGTCATCATTGTAATGTGTGCTTTCGTTGCCTGTAGACAATAATAATAGTTTCTTTAATTTACTTTCACAGTTGACTATCATCGCATCAKAGGATTTGTGTTGTTSTTCTTAGTTGTCGAGTGGTGTTTTTACAATTAACATCGATCACTGACGTCTTTTTTCGTGGCTTCCAATCACACAGCTGAGCTCTTAAAGGGATTTTACTAATTTACCTTCAGTTATTTTTCGAACTTCAACATGCCTGAATTCGTTGGYGACTTTGATSAAACGGAATTTGAACGGTTGTCGTTTAATTACTTAGACATGTCTTCGGTATTCCACCTGAAAGATGTCAATTACACCAGACAGTTTGCGCACATTTACGCCCACAGACTGGTACARATGAGAGACATTTTGCAAGTAAAAATACAACAAAAATGGGGTATGATAATATATATATTATGATATGTGTTTTGATTTTTATCATAAATCCAGAATAAGAATCGCCATCAAAAAAAGTCCTTTTAACACTAGATTTTTATATTATTGCATATTAGTGGCTTAAAGCTAGGCATTATTTATCGATCTTTCAGTATGTATTATGTATTGAACCATAGATTAAAACAGAAAGTCTTTAAGTACAAATTTATTATACTACCTATAATTTTATAATTGAATTTATTTTTCAACTGATAATAGGAGCACAGATTATATAAAACATTTTATATAATCTGGGATAGGAGTTTAAGTTATTAATTCTAATTGTTCAAAGCAAAAATTAGTGAACTATTTGAACTAAAATAAAAATAACTTGAGTAATTAAGTTTTATGTGGTATATCCTTTGCACAATTCAACATAAATTGATGATAAAACTKGAATATGAAAAATAAATGTATGTATAAAAAAATACTGTGAACTGCAAAATTTCTTTTCAAACTTCAGATATCTAGGTTAGGTTATATATAGGTAGATACCTACTTATTTTACATAATAATTTAATTAAAAATTTCACTCTTTGTTTTGTATTTTATTATCCATATTTTTTGGACTTATTGATAGAAATACAGAATACCTAAAAATATATTTTAGCTAAGATATTAAAATGGAAGTGTGTCTGGTGTGTATTATTGTGATCAATTCACATAGTATTTTTTTAATATTAAATATAAAAAGTGTTGATGTGGGTGGTTTTCTTTTTCAAAGTGTTATGCCGTATTGCATTTTATATAACATATATTCCAATGTTTATATTTAACAATAAAATTTTACATTCAATGTTTTATTTCTACTGGTACTATTTAATAGTAGATTTTTGTTCATAATTTACATGCTATTACATTCATGTCATAAATGTTATTGTTATTTTTATTTTTACTAGGCAAGAAGTGTGATGTTTATAAATTATCTGAATTACATGATAAAATTGGAGAGGAATGTATTGTAATAGGCACACTATTTAAACATCAAGAACTAAAACCTAGTATTTTAAAGGAAATTAGTGAAGAAGTAATATAAAATTCATATTGTACACAACATAAATGTATTTAATTGTTGATTAATTTGTATGTTTTTAGAACAATTTGATACCTCAACCGCCTAGAACTCATTTTGTTTCCGATACAGATGAAGTCATATTGGAAGATGAATTACAAAGAGTGCCTTTAACATTTGATGGATTGAATGACAATAGTTTATCTTTAAATAATATTATGACTGGATGTATTATAGCAGTAAAAGGTATCCCTCATGATGGTGGAAAATTTGATGTAATGGATTTTTGTTGGCCTACACCATCAGCTGTTTCTAAAAAACTCACTACTCGTAGTTCAAGAGATGATAGGTATGATGCTTATGAAATTTGTTACAATTTTCTAAGAATCTGTCAACATGATTCTACAATAAATAATGTTAATTTTTGCAGGTTTCTTGTATTAATAAGTGGCTTAGAATTAGCTACTAATGTTGCTACTCATTTCCAA